GTTTATGCCTTCTTGTGTACATGTTTATCCATACATTGGTTCAGGATTAGAGTTGTTGAGTTAAAGGGTATATGTAAGTTAAAATTATTCATTTTTATCTATTGCAGTCCATACACACAGTACAGGTGTCAAAACGTGCAAAAGATCATGCTGTAAAAGTCCTTTCTCACTCCTGTTCTCCAGCAACAAGTTCCCCTCCCGAGAGGCAACCAGCCTATCTCATTTCTTGTGTATATTTTCAAAGCTTTTAATATGTAAATACCAGTACATATGTGTATGTTTACATATACATATGGACATACATACATGTGTGTACTCATGCGTATGAGTTTTTAAAAATATAACTGATAGTATGCAGTACATACAGGTCTCCTAATGCTATTTTTAAATTAATTATTTTTTTCAATTACAGTTGACATTTAATATTATTTTATATTGTCCTAGTGCTTTTGTCACTTAATAATATATATTAGAGAGCTTTCTCTGAGGGTAGTGATAGAGTTGTCTTTCTTTTTAATGACTACAGAGTAGTCCATTGTAAAGATGTACCATAATGTATTTAATCAGTCTTTTATTAGTGAACATTTAAAGTGTTTCTAATACTTCGCTATTATAAACAATACTATAATAAATACCCACATGCCATTTTACCTATGTGCATTTCTTAAAATGAAATACTGCAAATGGGACTAAGGATGGCAAGTCACACATTTTTTAAATGTTGTTTTATCTATTTGTCGAGTAAATTTACTACACTTTAAAAAAAACATTTCCCTATTATGAACATTTATGTTTCCCCTAAGTTTTTGGTATTAAAAATAAACTTCAAAGAACATAGAAATACTTTCAACCCTACTTGAAATTGTAAATTAGCTTCTTTTCACCATTCCTACAAGGAAATAAATAAAGTATGTATTTTTTCTGGCAATAATTGTGCTCTCATTTTGGTTTACTGAGAGATACATTAGCCTTCTTGATATCAGAGATGTTGATTATAGGGTTTTCAAATTTCCTTTATACTAATCTATACATCTGATGTCCTTCAGGGCCTAGAGTCTGGATTGTGAACTTATTCTCTAGCTGACACCATAATCATTATCATCATTATTGCCACCTTTTAAGTTTATTAAGAGCTTTATAAATAGTATTAGATGCTTAATTTTAATCTATCCTTCCAGGTCCCATTTTCTTGCATTATTTTATTTAATTTTATCTTATTCTTTTCTAAGAGTCTTAGTACTTCCCATCTCTTCACAAGTGCCTTCACGAAAAGCACATAGATTTTAAAATAAAAGCTCTAGAATTGAAAAATGATTCTGCCATTTATTGGCTGTGTGACCTTTTGCTAAGTTAAATTTTCTGAGGCTATAAAATAGGAACAATGATATCTACCTTGTGAGATTAGTATTGAGTTACATATATAAATATATATATCACTTCCTACATGCCAGGTAGTTTACATGCATATCTCTAACTTTTAGAGTAGCCACAATCAAAGTAAATAGGAAGGCAAATACAGTAGGTTGTGAAAGAATCAAGGAGATAGTATGAGATAGATGTGGTGTAGAAAGTCACCAAACTAAGACCTGAAATTTGAGTTGGAGGAAGTTGAGAGTAGTGGGTTTTGATAGGAAGTATTCAGACAAAGCAAAAAAAAGAGCATTTATAAAGGCACTGAGGACAGAAAGAACTCAGAATACTCAAAGAATTGAAAGAAGTAGAGAAATTTCAAACTGTGCAGAATACTGGAAAGAGAGATAGTGGACGGGGCCAAAAAATGGTTATTTTGGGAGATCCTATTGTTGGCCTATCTAATTGCATTATCCTCTTCTTTTTGGTAAAAGAACCCCAAATTATATTGTCCAGATAACTGAAGGGCCAAGCCCTGTGGGATAAATTATGAGTTTAAGCCATTCTGGGTACCTTCATGTTTTTTGCTAATGACTTTAAGAATGGTCATGGGGCCCAGCATGGACCAATAAGATATAAAGGGATGTCTGCAGAAGGAGGCCTGTAGGAAACATTTTCCTCCTACTTGAAAGAAGAGACAGCTAGAAGGAGGAAACTCTATCTTTTCTTTTTGTTTATTAGAGATTGTGTAGATGTGATTATTGGAACAGTATTGTGTAGATGTGATTATTGGAACAGTTCATGTCATCTTTCTACCATAAAGAAGACACTACTGACACACTGGGAACGGCAAGGGACTGAGGCCTTGAGGACATCACTGAATTTTGCTGAAATAACTCTGGAACTGTTTACCTCTACTAATTTACCACATCAGATAATAAATATCCTTATTGATTAAGGCATTTTCAGTTGAATTTCTGTTCCCTACCACGGAAGTTGTCCTACCTGATTATAGTTATTGAAAGAGTAAGATCTGCGGGGCTTTGTAAATCATGTTAAGGATTTGGAATTTAACCCTAAGGGTTATGGGGAGCCATTAAAGTGTTTTGAGCATGGGAGATATAAGATACTTGCTTTTCAAAAGGTCACTTTAGTTGCAATATCGATGACAGTGGCAAGAGTGGATGTAGATGGAGCAGAAAGAAACTATTACAATAGGTCACACAAGACAACAACTGATTTAAAGTAAGTGATAACTGGCCATGGAAATAACAAAAACAAACAAACAAACAAACAAAAGCAATTCAAAAACTACTGAAAGTATTATTGGAGGCAGAATTCTGATTGTGAGTGTGGTTGATTCAATGCGAATGAGGAAGAGGAAAAAATCAAGAATGGCTCCCAGCTGTCTGGACTGAGCTACCAGGTAGATTGTAGTACCATTTACTAAGAGAGAGAGAGAGAGAAACAACTGGAGGTAGAACAGGTGGAATGTTACTATAATGGTTATGTCAAGTAAGTAGTTGGGCATAGAGTGGCCTAGAGTAGATATAAAGACTTGAAGGTCTTCAGAATCTGGATGGTTAACAGAATCTATTTGGTTTTTGAGGTTCTTAGGGAAGGAATGAGGAATGAGAAGGGAAAAAGGTCCTAAGACAGAATCTTTAGATCTCTGGCACTTAGTTTTTCTAAGGAGAAGAGGTCAGCATAGGAGACTGAGAAAGAACAGCCAGAAAGAAAGGAAAGCCAAAGAGTTTTTCTACAAGGAGGGAGTAGTCAACACTGACAAGTATAATTGAGAGGTCAAGCAAGAAAAGGACTAGAACGAGTCCATTGGATTTACCCACATGAAGGCCACCTATCGGTGACACTGGCAACAAAGCAGTTTTTGGACAGATGGAGGTCCAGTGGTTGGTTCAAAACCCAGGCTGGACTGGATAAAGAGCAGATTATTAAGAAATGGAGACGTAAAAGTAGAGAATCAGGTCAAGAAATTTAGCCTTAAAGAGGACATAGGGCAGGAGCTGAGCATCGAGTGGAATCAAAGGAGGATTTTTGTTTTTCTTTTAAAGATTCAATTCATTAGCAAGCTATTTTAGATCATATATCCCAAATCTGTCCATCTCTCACCTACCCAAATATCTCCACAGTCCCGAATTTTATTGTCCTCACTTGGACTAATTCAGTAGCCTCTTAACTGGGTTTCTCTGCTTTCTTACTTTGTTCCTGTCTTTTTAAAACCACACAGCAGTCAGAGTAAATCAAACCATGGCACCTTGAATAAAATACAAATTCTTGGTCCTGGCCTATAACATTGGATGTGAGCAGGCCTGTCTCCTATTCTGTCTCATCCCATCTACCCCCACCTCCACCCTCACCCAACCATCTCACTCTGCCCCTGTGCTCTGGCCCCACATGGCTTCTGGTTTTTATTCTTGCCTTGCTCTCTGACTCCAATGTTTAGCAAGCTTTTTTCTAAATATTTGAATGGTTGATCCTTTTTCATTATTCATGACTCTGTTCAAATGTCACCTCATCCAAAAGGTCTTCTCTGACCTTCTTATCCTCCTTGTCATCCTCACTCCCTGTTTTATCTTCTTCATGGCTCTCATTATCTGAAAAATTCTTTCTCATTTATTTGTTGATAACTCGTTAAAATTTAAGTCTGGGTGAAGTTTATGAGATTATGTATTATTGTATTGTGTAGTATTGTATGTATTATGTATGATTATGTATTATTTCATAATAAGCATGTGAAACTATAATTATCTCAAAATAAATGTATTTTTTTTTAAGTAAGTTCTTGTGAGAACTGGGATTTTGTTGGATTGTTGAGAACTGGGTTCCCATCACCAGAACGGAGTCTGGCATGCAGACTTAAGATTTAATAAGTCTTATTAAATGCATACGTTAATAAATGACATATGGTTATGTTTCAATGGTTATGCTTACAAGCGAATGGAGTAGAGAATACAAACAACGGCAGGAGATCCTGAGCAGAGGAAACGGGATCATAGAATTTAGCACTAGAATATCCGTCCTAGTGTGGGCATTCGAATGCAGGTATTCAGAACTCTTTCCGCTAGCCCATGCTACCTCTCCGTTAATGGAGTATTGATTAGATCACTGAAGTAGAGGTTAGCACTGTCTTAGAAGACGCTCAGTCATCGATCATCTTTGCGGCCTATTACGATTACAACGGCCCAGGACTGCTGGGACCACCACCTTACAAGCGGGTGTTCTCTGATTCCCACAAAGCATGACCAGGCCCGCGCTTTCCTTAACTTGCGACCGTGGGGGAGGAGGATGTGCGCTCCAAACTGGAAAGTTCACTGCCGAACCAGGTCCTCTGCTCTGCAGTTGAGGTTTCAGGTTTCAATCCTCTCAGGACCACGAGACGTTGCAGCGTACACCGTGTGGTTGCCGCCTCCGCGCCTCAACCCAGGCAGCAAGCGAAAGGCAATTTCAGACGCGCGGCCGTGCACTCGGCCTGCCCTAGAACCGGGGTTCGGCTCTGCGACGGAGGCTGCTTCTAGGCTGCTTTTGCTGCGCGCTCTGGGAGGCGGCGATCACAGCTGGGCCGGGACTTCCTTCCTCCACCGCAGGACAACAAAACAACCCGGCAGCAGGCAGTGAGCTCTTGGCAGCTGTCTCGGTGAGAGGAGCAGCGATGGGATCCGTGCTGAGCAGCGATAGCGGCAAATCCGCTCCCGCTTCGGCCACCCCCCGGGCCCTGGAGCGCAGGAGGGAGCCGGAGCTGCCCGTCACGTCCTTCGACTGCTCCGTGTGCCTCGAGGTGTTGCACCAGCCTGTCCGGACTCGCTGTGGCCACATGTAAGTGCCAGGGGAGCTCGTTTTGCACACCTACCCTTGGGGGCGGGCGATGCTGTGGGAGCCGAGGGCATGGGGCGGGGGTGTTCAAAAGCCAGCGCTTGAAAGAAACTGCTGCAGGGAGAAACCTGGACCGTCGAGTGCGGGCCACGGGAAAAGTGCCCAGTCGGAAGGATTTCAGGAGGAGAAAACAGCAAGAACTGCCACCTTATGAAGCCCTGATGGGAGCTCCAGGGATGGGGTTCGGAGGCGCAGGACCTGCAGAGAGCCAGGGCTGGCCAGCTGGCTGGGGAGGGTGATCTTGACAGGAGACCAGCACCCGCCTGGGCACTAAGCAGTGGGCTCCCGTAGAACACAGTTATCCCGCTGAACTCGGTTAATCGGGCAGTGCTTCCCTCCGCCCCCGGTTGGGTTTTGTTTTGCTGGCCGTGTGCACGTGTTCCAGAACACCCGCCGAGGCTCGTCTGTTGGGCAAACAGGAATCTGTGCAAACTGTCTTTCCCCCCCCCGCCCCCCACCCCGCCACCTCGCCTCCCTACAGACACACAGACCCCCCTCCAAGATGGTCTAGTCGAACTGGAATGTCCAAGTGACTTTCAGCAGTCGTTAGAGTTCAACGACCTGTCAGGGTGGGATCCGGGGCTGCACCAAGCCCGTGAATGCAGCTATTTAAAACTCAGCTACCGAGTGACATGTGGTTGCAGATAACCTGCTTTACCCACCGGCTCCCCACATCGATAGAAAGTATAGATAAAAAATAACTGTCTTAAAAATCATGTGCTATTTAAAACTCGCCGTTAGCGCACAGCCGTGCTGGTTTCCAAGAGTTTAAAAACAAAATCTATAAAATTGGCACGTTCTTAATTTGTACTTGAGTAGTAGCAGGAGCTGGATCTGCGAATTTGTGTTTGTTTACTTAGAAGCTTTCCTTTTGTAGAGGCATAGGTGTATGACTGAGTGTGGGGGTGGGTGGGGTGGAGACGGCATAGAGCAAGAGCGGAAGCCTACTTAAAGTCTTCTTTGGATGACCCACTAATCATAGTTTGATGAAAGGCCAGGGGGATACCACAGTGGCTAGTATGTGCTTTTGGCTTGGGGGTGGGGGAAGTACCATATTTTAAATTCAAAATGCTTTTTAAAAGGACTTAACTTAGTTGGTCCTTGACACCTGTAGCCTATTACCTGAGAAATGGTTTTCACCACTGAAAAGCCTAGCAGTGAGCCAAGGGAGAAAAATCTGCAGCCCACACAATGTTGGAATACAGAGTGCCCTGGACATTATACTGTGGTTGTATTCAGGGCCTGTTCTTTCAGCTTTGTACTTCAAACTCAAGGCTAATTTACCTCCTGGCTGATTACTGATGTTGTTTCCCAGCTGTCCAGATGTAACTCATGACATGCTATCCCAAGGCCAAATGGAAGCCAAGATGTTTTTGTGTAACCATATAAAGAACATTGATTAGTTCAGGGTGAGAATAACCTGTATATAGTTTGTATTTGCATTAAAGCTTTAAAGTTGCACCAGAGATGCACAGTTGTCATCAAATCTTGAAGAACTGAAATGGGCAGTTTTGCTGTTGGATGTTGGAGATTGTTTTCTGATTGAGGATTGTTTTCCCTGGTTTAACTTTCTGTTTGTAGTGGTTTTAATTCTGCTAAAGGATAATACAAATTTACAAAATGTTGTCTTGTTTAAAATCTTTTTCTTTGTTAGAATGAATAGGAAACCAGCAACTGGAAAAAGTCATGAAGTATAATAAAGGCTGGATGGAATGACCTACCCTCACTTTACTGTTCTTTGTTTTGACAAATCTATGTCCATTGTTCTGGCAGTAGGCAGAATTTCCATAGTCCTCTTTTTGGCAAATTTACTTAGGCTCCTTCTACTTTATAAATGTTAATTAGAGTCCCTTCAACACTGGAAATAGTGAATTCTGTTAATACCATTTGTACTTCCTAAATCAATTACTCTCTTCCATTGAACTTAGATTGGAAAATGATGCAATGCAAATGAAGCCTCTCAATGTTATACTGAACCGGATTCCCAAATTTGTTGAACTAGGTCATTTATGCTAATTTCTGTTTATAAACCTATTTCAAGTTAAGTACAATAATGGCAACAGTACCTTGAATGAATATGTATATAGCACTTTATAAATTGTATTGTGATTTAGTAGAAACAATGGGCTCGATAGAGAGCAGGATTTGAAATTCAACTGTGCCACTTATCAGCTCTGTGACCAACCTGATGCTTAATCTCAAGTTGAATCTGTTGCTTCATTTATAAAATAGGGTAATATAATTTTTTACGAGTATTTAAAATGTAAAAGTAGCTCATAATAAAGGTTCAAAACATAGTTTCCATTTCCTTGAAAGCTATTACACAAAGTGAAAACTCACGAACAGGTATTATTTATGTCTATATTTCTTGTAGAATAAAATTGGGCCACATTTCCAAGCTGCCTCAGATGGCCTTATTTTTAGCTTAATTCTCTTTCCTTTGGTGAAGTTTAAGCAGTTCCATTTTAAAATTTTGTGATTTCAAATTGACTTTACTCATATCACTCTATCAGTTGTAAAAATACACTTGGGGGGAAAAGGCTTTTCTTATGTTGTATTATCATCGAGCTGGGGAAAGAAGAAGTTGATAAATTATAATTGTTTAAAATGAAACTGAAAGGGAATCTGATTTACATTTAAAAGAAATAGTTAATGAAATTTGTTATCCAATTGGATATGGTAGATATGGGGTGGAGTACTCCCGAATAGGTGGCAGAGATAAAGGAAGCAGGGTTTAGCTCAGGAAGAAGTTAAGGAACTCATGATTGGGCTTGTTGAAAGTACAGTAGTCCATTAGGGAGATAGCCAAGTGGAAATACCCCAAAGGCACTTGGGAGAGTAGGTTTAGAGAAAGAGGTCAAAGCTAAAGATAAGGGAGTTACCTAAAAAGGGCTAAGAGGTTGAGAACAGACCTAAAAGAACTTACTAACTGGAGTGTGATAGAAGGTGCAAGGAGCCACTTCTCCACTCAACTGAGTAGATTAAATGGCTCACAGAATTTGCCTATTTTATATATTTTTTAAATGAAATGGTTGAGAATAATTCTGAAGTGCTCTCAGGTAAATGTTTCATTTGTGGTCAAGTATGAGCAGTAAAACCTGCACCAAATTAGTGGTTCTTTAGAATCTGAGAATCAACTGATGAGTTTTAAACTCTTCCAGAAATATACATCAGTGCTTTCATTCACAGATGCAGATAGTTGAATTGAGGTAGTGAGAGTTTATGGAAGATCCCATATAATTGCAAATTATCACTAACATAGTAGTTGACCTGTGATTTTACTTTAGATGAAATTTTGCAGTTTAAATATGAACCATCCCGGCTCCTGATACTAAAACAAATGTATATAGAATGACTCCTCCCAAGCTACTTGGGTGTCACTTAAAATGGGATGAGTGGAGTCTTTTGTACCATCAAGGTCCAAAAACTATTGAGGGCCATTGCTCTAATAAAGGAATACTACCTTCCATTTTGCCACTCCTTTAAGGTTTAGCTGACACTTATTAGGTGTTAGATATTGGGTGAATTAATGAATGACTAAAACAAAATGCAGTTTGGGTAATTCGGTGAACACCCCTCAATTGGTGACAACCACTCTATAGTGCCAGCCAACTGAGTCTATGTAGTCTGAGTCCCATGATAGTTTTGAACTGTTCCTTTATAGGGTTACTTATCTGTGCCTTGTTACTGAGAATTTCAGAAGGATGTAATTAAGCTGACCTGAAATTTGCCTCTTCCGGTGGTTAGGCTGCTCTGTGTTTACTTAGCGACAGTAGTGTTGTCATAGGCAAATTAAATATTAGTGATCTATTAAATTATGTATTCTCTAGCAAACAGAACCTATATAATGTAGCAGATTGGGTTTTATGCTGAGATTCTACTTAGAACCTGGCTACTGGCTCGTGGACCAGCAGCATTACAGAATGTTGGGCCTTACCTCACATCTAATCAATCAGAATCTGCATTTTAACAAGATACCCAGGTGATTTATATCCACATTAAAGTTTGAGAAGCACAGCCTTAGATAATCCTTTTTAATTGACAGTAAGATACAGTAAGTCGCGGTCAATGTTTGAGGGGTATAGAGAAGTACCCCACTAAAGGAAATAGAGTTAGGTTAAAGGAAATAAAATTTTCCTTCAGGGGTTAAATTTAAAATCAACCCATAATGGAATGTAGAGATATGCAGAGCCCATTTTTGGAGGCTAAATGATTTCCAGGATGGACTTTGTAACCTAATTGAATTCATAAGCAAATCAAAGGAAATCTTGAGGGACATTGCGTAGTTGGAGGGCCTGTGTTCTAAGGATAACTGCACTTGAATCTGTCCAGGTTGATCCATCACTGGTGAAGAGGGAGTCGTGTGTGTGTGTGTGTGTGCGTGCGTGTGTGTGCGCGTATTGCCCTATATTGCAATATTTTAGACTGAGACTTTTATGGTCGCCTTGAATAACAATAGCAACTCTCCTTATTCTATTCACATTTTCAAGCCAACTCAGGATTTTCTTCAGCTTCATATTGGCATATCCTCAGTGAGGCAGCCTAGTGCTGAGAACATAAATAAAATCTTAGACTGGCCACATGTTGCCAATGGCTTCTTCCAGAATCACATTTGGGAACTGCCTCTTTGTAACTCATTTTGCCTGTCTAGCTTTAAGCCCCATGGAGTCCCATGCATGTCTTTCCTCTTTAAATCTACTATACTTAGGGTTTGTTTTACCTCTTAAGATTGGTACATAATTTTACCCAATGTCCTCAGCAACCCTTTCCCCCATTTTCCTCCAATATTTTGCTCACCTCTTCATTTAAAGGTTTTATTGCTAATCACTAAATTTAGGGAAACAGAAAGGAGTTAATAAGATAACCAATGAGAGTGAGGCAATTAAGTTTCCAGCTGGTTTCAGAGTTCTTAGAGTCATTATCTAGTTCCTAATTTCTTCAGG